GGATCTATAGAGACAGTCCTAAATGTTTAATAGGACTAAGACAAAGTACATAATCATATAAAGTTTTGAAAAGATTCAAAATAAGATTCTACGAAACAGTATCTACCATGCAACATGGTGTAGGATTGAGTAAGGATTAATCATCTAGTACGCATGAGGAACTGGAAAGAATGAATCGAGCCTCGTATGCTTCCACTATTGGATGGATCATGTATGTCATAACATGTACTTGACCTGATATTTCATATAATGCAATCATGATGAGTTGATATCAAGAGAATCCTGGCAATAGTCATTTGACAGCAGTGAAGAATATCCTCAATTATCTAAGATATGTTCTTAATATATTATGGTAAAGAATAACTACGACTTACAAGTTATGCATATGCGAGTTTCCAGACTGATAGGGAAATCTCAGGTTTATAATCAGATTGGGTATTCTTACTAAATGGAGGAGAGGTTTATAATCAGATTGGGTATTCCAAGCAGAAGACGGTGGAAGACTCAACATGTGAGTTGGAGTATATTGCAGCTAGTGAAGAAACAAAGGAATCTAGATGGTTAAAGAACTTCATTGGTAATCTTGGATTTGTATCGAGCATCAAAGACCCTTTGGAGATCTTTTGTGACAATGAGGGTGCAGTCGACTTGAACAAAGAACCCAAATACCATGGGAGTTCAAGACACATACTCAGAAAGTACCATTAGATTCGACATAGGGTTGAAGACGAATATATCATCGTGAGTAGAGTATCATTTCAAGAGAATCATGTTGATCCTTTCATGAAGCCACTATCAAGTAATAAACATGACGAAATACTTTTGCAAACTCAGAAAGAACCATTAGTTGTTTAGGTTGAATTATTTTTGAAACATTTTTACAGTATGAAGTGTAACATTTAGTAATTTGTTAAAGAGGTTTTTCAGTGTTATCAAATTGTGTTAATTCAAATATTGGGTTTCACTTTTGCATTTTTTTAACATACTTTCAAAATGATTAATTATATTCGAATATCCACAGTCGGTCACACTCTAGGAAGTGAGTGAGTGATTAAGATTGTCATGAATTTTGTTCGATTGACCAAGTAGTTTCGGACATTGCAATAGATATTATAAATACTTATAATTAGAGATTTCAAGTATGGTAACAACCCACACATAGATATTACTTCATGGATCTACTCACGAGTAATTCTAAGATGACAATATCTTTTATTCTTCAAACCAAGATACATATGGGATTTTGTTTGTGATATCTATTTTGCATTAGTGTGCTCCAATGCTATCCATAATTGGTACTCGTAAAGAGTATGTCGACGTATGATTATACGAGTAGGCAAATAATATGTAGTTAAAGCTTATTTATTCCTTCTCGTAACTGCGGAGTGATATCTATGCAACCTCTTATTTTCTTCAGTTGCGGGCTCGACATGAACACCCTTCCCTTTATCTTTGGGATCAACAGTTGAAGTATTCTTGATCATAGTAGAACTCAAACCTCCTTCTCCAATACTTATCCCTTTCTTTTGTTGCAACTTGGATAATTCAACATTAACATTAGGAGTAGTTTTTGTTGTTGTCGATGTTGTCACCACTACCTTCATTGGTATCAAGGTTAGAATTTGAGTAGAAGTTATCTTGCCCACAAATTTACCTTTATCTTCACCACTAACCTTCGATGAACCAATCCCATTTTCTCCCCCTTGCAACACATTCACAAAACATGGAGCATTGGTTGGAAGTCGAAGAAACAGATCCAGAATTGGTGCCAATTCATACTTAAAACACGATTCAACTTAAAAAACCATTTTAGAGAGTGACTCTTGAGAAATCGAAGATGTTGATTTAAAATCAAACTTCGATAGAGTCTATTAAAATCCAGTGAGAGACTTCTCAATCTTACCAAACACCTTTACATCTGCTTTGTTCTTTTTCTTCATATCACTAGAGTAATCTTTATAAAAAGCAGTAATATCCTGCACCAATCGACTAGTAGCACCAATCAAAACTTGAACCTTTTCAGTAACATCACAAAACTTATCAAGTTTCTAAACTTCTTTGGAGAATGAGTCACTGAAATCCTTTATCTTCAACTCGATAGAATTCCTTGAAGTAGTCACCAGCTTCTCAAATATCTCATGACACTCACGAGTAGCATCTTGCACTTTCATAATTTCATAATTGAAATTACGAGAATGAGTAGCCAAACTCTCATCAATACTCTTATCGACACCTTCAATTCAAGCCTTAGTTCTCGAATCTTGAGACTTTAATAGGTATTCAACCTCGACCCCACTAAGAGCAGACTTCTTAGCACTATCATTTAAAAATTAAAGAATCAAATTCTACTTAGAAATAAGAATCTTGAATTGTTTTCCAGACATAATTGCATTATTAGGAACATTGTCTTCTTCCAGATTAAACTCCAATTCAACAAACCCAACCATGATATCATCTTCATCTTCTTCTTCGTTAACAGTTTCCTCTGGTTCAACAAAGTCAACAAAATTCAGCACCCAGCGAGTACGCTGGGTGTATAACTCCCTATGCTGGGCGTACTGCTGGCTAAGCATGCGACAGGGGTTTTTAGATCTACGTTGCGCGTAGCTGAGAGAACGCACGACGTACTCCTCAGACTTCCATTACATACTTCTTATGGTCTTAATCCATTAAGACAAATACTCCAACTATATATCTGAGCTAATCAAGGTCTCTTATTCCATAAAGTTGTGGCCTTTAAGCCTTTTCATGGCTATAGAAGGCTAGAACATCATTTCACCCCTTTCAAACTACTTTACTCATGGATGGGACTCAAGGGAAGATTAAGCAAGCATTTTTATCCATCTGGATGCCCTAAAATGCATGAAAGGACAGTCTAAACTCACTGGAGAGTCACAAACTCGAAAAGGTCTAAACTTGAGGACTTAAACTCATAAAGCTTGCACAAAAAGAGATCTAAGAGAATATTAGCCAAGGTACAAGCTTTATACCTGGAAATGATGCACAAAAATGGATAGTTTCTGGATCTCTAAGTTGGATGACATCTTCTTCTTCTTCTTCTAACTTCACTCTTTCACAACAAGAGCCAAGAATCACTTTAAGCTTGCAAAATCACACCCACAAGCATACACTCGAGATTTAGGGTTTAGGAAAGGTTGGAGGCTGAAAAGGTGGCTAGAAATGAGTCCATCTTATTCCTTAAATAGGGACACAAGAAATATTAGGGTTTGCATACTAAGCCTAGTATGCCCAGCGTACCCTTTGGTACGCCGAGCATACTAGGAGGCCTCCATGTTATGCATGGTGCATGAGTACGCTGCGCGTACTCATGCATACGCCCCGCGTACTAATTTGCCAACTTTTCAGATGAAGGGACTCATCTTGACATAAAAGGGAAAGATTCAAGAATAACAATTGTACCTCATTTCGGGATGTTACAATTCTCCCCCACTAGAATCAGACTTCGCCATCGAATTCATCCTCTGGAAACAGCTTAGGATACTGCTCACGCATCTCAGACTCCGGATCCCAGTCCACTCGGACCCCTTACGGTGCTGCCACTGAACTTTGACCAAGTTCACTACCTTGTTCCTCAAGGTCTTCACTTTACGATCCAATATAGCTATAGGCTTCTCCATATAATTTAGGCAATCATAGACCTGAATGTCCTCTAGGGGAACCACATCCTCCTCATCGGCTATACACTTCCTTAGCTGGGATACATGGAAGGTATCATGTATCTGACTCAACTCCTCCAGTAGCTCCAATCGGTAAGCCTCCTTGCCCACACAGGCCAACACTCGGAAAGGGCCACTACTAGAAAAACAGGCTTTTACGACGCGCAATGCGTGTCGTAAAACACTCAGACGACACGCAAATGCGTGTCAAGGAAGGCCCTGTCATAACGAGACACGACACGCTTTTACGCGTCGTCTATAGATGCCACACATTTACGACGCGCATTTATGACACACATTTACGACGCGCATTGACGACGCAATGCGTATCAAGGAAGCCCATGTCATAAAGGAAGACGACACGCATTTGCGTGTCGTAACGTTACGACACACGTTTAGGACACGAATTGTGTATCATTAAAGCCCCTGTCATAAATGAAGATGACACGCATTTGCGTGTCATAAACTTCAGCAACGATTTACGATATACATTTACTACGCGTCTTTACGATACTTATTTACGCATAATACAAAAATATGGAAACAAATATATACCAAAACAATCAATTTCATCCATAACATCATGTCAAAAAATTGTAATACATTGGTATTATGGGGATCCGATTGTACATTGTTATTAAGAGGTTTTCCCTAACTATATAACCTAATACTACATTGCTATTAAGGAACACCTTCTTGTTTCTACTTCTTATTGTTATGCTTCTGTTTTCACATGATACCTATTTTCCATGTAGTAGTACCCACTTGACCAATAACATCTAAGCTTTCCTTCTTCACAAAATCAAATATTAAGCATAAGGAAGTCGATTTGTCAAGTCCACACATCTTCGATGAATTAGTACCCCCTTGACCATGATTTGGACCTAAGAACATGGGAATACAAAGATACAGATAATATTTAATAACATTGTCCCAAATATAAAACAAAAACAAGAATTAATATTTGTTGAAGCTTACTCACTTTGGGCCAAACGTAATGGTGACAGCTGAGTAAAAAAGATCATAATAGAGTGAGCCCACCTTAGCTTTCTCTACCCGTTAACATACAATCTTTCTTGGCGAAAAGATCACTCACTACTCGAAAGTTAGAAAAAAAAGTCGATCTAGTTTAAATTTTGAGAATATAACATAAGGAGAATCTAAAATAGACCTATAGAATTCCATACCTTTACAATAACATCATATATGTAGTTTTTCATGTCATCCTGTTGTTCAACAGGTAATGCATATGTTTGTGAGATGTAGTAATCTTGTAATAGAAACAAATGGTTGTGAGATGCATATCCCAGAAGATAGAGATAGTTACCTGTAAAGAAAAGAATTTGGTGTCCAAGCTCTGTCATCGGATCTTTGGATGATGGTTTCACTGCATGATTTGTAATTGTTTGTGTATCCCCCTCTTAAGGAAGTTGTAGCAGATTCTATACTAACATTTGGTGACACAAAACTAGTGCAAACCCCACGAGGGGATATTGTACATGATGATGAAGATGAACATATCGACTCTCCGTTCCAATGAAGCATGTTATGTGAACAAATCACCAATTCACGCTACAATACAATAACACAATCTCATTAGTTAGTGTATGTGTGAGCAGCAAACAATGTGGCTTTACCTTCAATTTCTCACGTCTGATGATTCTTTCACAGATGAGACGTAATCTCTCCAATTCAACCTGCGAGACGATTTTTTTTAAATCATGATTTTGGATTCAAATAATGTATTTTATAAACAGCAGTGTAACTTACCCTGACTTTCTTGAGGGAATTCCATTCTTCAACTCCATGTTTTTGAGTCTCGGCCTAGAATAAACAACAAATAAGGTGTACTTAGAAACTAGTATAAAAAAAAAAGAAACAGAATAACAAGAAGGTCAAAATTGATTGATATTATGGTAAATATTATTAATAATAATATATTATTACCTTTGTTCTCTCCACTTGGCTGTGCTTCTCACAGTAAGCCTTGTGTTGTATTTTTCCACCACTAGTTCTCACGTTCATGAAGAAGCCAGCACTTTTGCCACAAGTAGGATGAAATGTGCTTTGACAGTGACCATAATTGCACTATAGGATACAATTAATAATTAAAAATAAAGTTGAATGAAAAAGAAAAAAGAAAAAAAGAAAAAAGAAAAAAGAAAAAACGAGATAGAAAAAACTCGTATTAATCTCAACAACCTTTATACATGCGCCAACTTTGCGGCTGCAAACAAGGCAAACATCATTCCCTCTGGAGATTGTCTCCTGGCATTTGTCACATGACATGAACATAAAACAACACAAATTATAATATCTAGGGACTAAATGCAAAATACTTTCAACTATTTGTACATCTTAGCAATTTGCTTTTGTTTCTTCCTGTTGCAGCATTTTACTTTCAAACTTTTTCCTATTAAGACATTTTTCTTTGGAATGTTAACCCAATTTTTATGTTGCTATTTCTTGCATTAAACTAGTCTTATCCAGCAGGACCTTTATTCACTTGAAAAGTGCACTAGTTTCCTCTAAATAAACATTTATTATACACTAGACATACCATGCCCTGAATGGGTTTCAGCTGCCCCCTTCTGAATCTTGATTCCAGAACCCACTACACCACAAAATCAGAAAAAAAAATCTATATATTAATCACCATAATAGAAGAGGAACACAAGTAAGAATCATAATCAAAGAATATTACCTCAGCACAGAAGGCATGGATCCATTGACCATCAGTTGACTTCCTAAAAGCACCAGTAGTGCCACCACATAAGCAACATTCCACCACACGAGACAACTTCGCTGAGTAACTAAAAGATGGGACCCCCTGCTTCTAGAAGACGATGAATCTTCACATAAATCACAAAACCATGGACCCGTAGAATCTTTCACACTACGATAACAATCTATGTGAACTGCAACTTGTTACCAGATAAAATATTTAAATACAGTTATGAGGATAAAAAGAGAAATATAGAAAAAAGATTAAAACTATTCATTTCCGGTATTTAAGGTTAAGCTAACCTTGCAACTAGAACATATAATAACTGGATTCAAAATTGTTTCCTCCCGTGTACAAACGTCACAAACCCTAGAATGCCCTTTGTAATCTAAACTTGATGGTGAAGAATCAATGTTCATTTCAGGTGGGGTCCACGTTACGGACAATTTTGGGTGTGTTTCTTTTGGTTGTGCATGAACTGCAGATCTTCCTCCAAAAGCTTTTATCTTCACCTTATTCTAAACACAATATAAGAATCATTTCATTAAGACAACAAATCAATGAAAGTACATCAATACTTCTTGCATTTAACTCTACTATTATCTAACAAAATGAGAGTCAACTACCTCATGGTGAGCGGATTCTTCAAGTGTATCTTTCCTGAAAGATGAAAGCCTGGAAGAAGCTGCAGCAGCTGCAATCACAACCTGGGCTTCCTTGTGCCTTCTCTCTTTTCTCCCCTGTTTGTTGACTTCTCTAAGCTCAGAAAGATATTGGCTCACCAACACAGCATCCCAGTTTCGTTTTCTTAGTGTCTCAATCTCTTAGGAAGAACCTTGATCACCTTTGAAACCAAATCATCTACACAATAAATAAAAAAAACATCACAAAGTTAACAAATTTGGCACTGCAAGATGAAGATGTAAAATCCCTAAATGCAGAGGATAAAGAAAGAGACCACCTAGGTGTTTTCTTGAAACTGCATTGCAAAGTAGGTGATGCTGATAGTAAACCAGTTCTCCTTCCAATTCATCAATTGGAGACATGTTTATGAGCTTAGTTTTTTCTATGTCACAACTCGACTCAGTAGAGGGTGAATTTTGATTTTGGGAAATGCATGATAAAGTGTCTTCCTTGTCAGCATTGATCTTGGACAAAACTTGATTTTGCAGGAGTATAAGTGGATGGACATAAGAATCATGTAAAGCTTCTGTTCTACTGCATTACCAGATATCTAGATATTGGTACAAGTCATACAAAATAAATAAAGTACACTAAAACATCCAACCTTCTTATTTTGATACTTAGTAAGTTGCAATGATTAAATTTTCAGACTTACATGGTATCAGGGATGTCATTCATAGGATTTAAACAATCATGGTTCCCAAGATTGGAATTCACCCTGGTATCACACTTAGATTCTATAGCCTCAGTTTGACCACTGTCAGAATTATTGACCAACAGATCAGAAGCAGGACAGGATTCTGCTGATATCTGCAAGAAAAAAAAGTTAAAGTTATTGTTAGATTCTCAAAACCACCAACATTCTATAATCATCAACATACAATCACAAAGTTGATTATGTGACAACCTTTTCCATAGAATCAGGAGAAGACTCCTCAAGTCCACCATTTTTATCCCCATCCATAACAACCCCATCATCTCCAGAAATCCTTTTTAGAGACAATATAAGACTGTTATCCTTCAAAACCCTAATATTTCCTTTAGTTCTCCTCCTATGTGGTGCTGACTTAACAGGAGAATTCCCCACATTGTTTTCTAATGCTACAAATTCTTTCTCAGCCTTGGATATGCATGGAGACACAAGTTTCAGCTTCAAGTTTTTCTGCAACCCACCAACATGAGCATGACTTTTTAGCCATTTGACTATTCTTCCATGCAAATCAGGAGGCAAGCTGTCATCCTGCAAGAATCAAGAATCCCATAAAACAAAGTTCTTGATCTTAGAATCTTTCATATGATATTGCTACAAGATAAATATGGCATTACAGCGAGATTTGATGCCAACAAGTTAGCAGAAACATTAATCTCTGAGGCCACATCTTTCAAATTGACTTTTCCTCGTTCAATAAACTACAGAATCAAGGGTAAAGTTTTGTTACACATGAAGTTTTTAAGAAGGATATGTTTCGAGAATATTTATTGTACCTTCTTCAGAAGTTGAGTGAAATTAGAATAATCATTCACTTTCACATCTTCAACTCCAACAGAAAGGTTTTCCAGATGTGGGCTATGATCTTTTTGGCGTCCAGAATGCTTTAAGCAAAAAGCTCGTAACTCAACCTATGTAATGTAGCAAAAAGAAAAAGGTGAAAATAAGAAACACAAAAACCTAAGCATTTCATAACAGGTTTTGATGTATAATTGTGGCAACATAAACTTTTTTGTTCTAGTTATAATGGAGGATGAATGAACTTACATCATCACATCCGAATTTCCCCCAAATTTCCATTATGTGCTTTGCTTCCCTTGCACATACAGGATGGAAAGAAGTTCGACAAGATCCTATTGAAGTACCAAAAATGAAAGATATTATAGTTAACTTTTAATAAAATAATATGCGGGGGGTTATATATTTTCTATTGTAATTAATCTTGCGAAAATTACACATACTCTATGCACAACCCTTCCTTTATAATGTTGTTTCATAATCATATTATATGTCACTGTACCTATATATTATAATACTTTCCCTGAAAAACTCAACAGTAATGCTACTTTTTCTCAACTTGTAAGTCTAGTTTTCTTTATTCTATAGGCTGAATTGTTCAAGCTGGTTATCATATTTTTTAAGCACAGTACAAGTGAAAGAAAAGCATACAGCTTCACTCTTCACAGCATTCTACAATCCAAATAGATCAAGTTATGTAGTTGATATTTGGCAGATACTGAGATTTGTCTGCTAATTAGAATCAATGATTGTTCAATATGTTCCAAAAATACATAAAGTTGACTTTGAAAATCTTGTTTTTTGCACAAATTACCCTTTACTTGCACACATTACCCTTTAATTTGCGGCCTTCAAATACATACAAGTCGAAATAAAAATGCTAGGCCAAAATAGATTGTTTTTTTTTCATTTATAAGGGAGACAGAGCATCGTCTTTTGAAGATCAATATAAACAAATAAACCAGATTCGACCAAGAGTTAGGATGTAGTCAAACATGTAGTATTCCCTTTAATTAATTTAAATCCACAATTACACTCCACATAGAACAAGTAGAAACACAAAGCCTGATAGAATATTCACATAACTCACAAAACCATGGACCCCCTGTTTCTAGAAGACGCCTTCTCTGAGTAACTGAAAGATGGGACCCCCTGTTTCTAGAAGACGATGAATCTTCACATAACCATGGACCTGTAGAATCTTTCAGCAAACCGATTCACTGTAATACCAAAATTGTTCTCCTTTTGGCTACCCTTCAAACCCTTTCCCTTCTCCACTTTTTCCTCTTTTTTCCCAAAATCCACACTCTCTTTCCCATTATGCCCCTGCTTATCTACATTGAAAGAATTATTATTTGCAGCAACAAACTCCTGGTTCTTTTGATGATTCCAATGGCTAACACTCCCCTATTCCAATTCCCACTATGACTTCTGTTATTACAACCTTTATTACCCTTATTACCAGTATTATAGCTTCCTCTTTTGTTATTCCCTCCATTCCAATTACTACCTTTGCTTCCAGAAATATTAGGATGAATATCACCTGTAGTGTACCCCTTCACAGTAGCAGTCCTTGCATTTCCAGCTTTTTCCGTGACCATAGTGTACCCCTCACCATCTTTATCCATCACATCCTGAATATCACTCTTGACAGCAACATTTTTCCCATTTATAACAGCCAAACAGATAGGATCATCATACCCATAAACTAACATTATTCATATGACTCTTCACTTGATTCAAATCAGAATTAGGGCTAGAAATCACAACTGCATCCTTAGGAATTTCCCAATTCTTAGATAAGTTTGCAGTGTTACCTGAAGGAATAGAATACTCATGAATGATCGGAGGCAAATCCTTGGTCACTTCATCCATAACATTGGAACTAGAACCCTTGATCGAAGCTTGACAAGCAACCCTAGAAGCACTGGAATCGGATTCCCACACACCATCAGATTCCGATACATCCTCCCTCTCTTCTTCTATAACATCATCCACATAGTAATCCTCAGCATCCATAGGAGTTCTGAGAAGAGAATCGCCCCGATTAGGTTTCCTAGCTTTATGCAAACCCTCCAATTTCCACTCCGCTTTCCTGATTCCCGACACAACAGCTCCAGTAGCACTTGGCTTTCGTCGGGAACGGTAGATAGTAGACGAAGACTGATCGAAAACCCCAGGAGGAATAACATCGCTTAAATCGACCTCAGTTCGCACCAATCGACCCACTGCTCCTTTATCAGGATGCTTAACCTTTACATCCTTCAATCGATCCTGCTTAGAAGAAGCTCCCATCGCAACAACGGAAATGATGAGAAGATACTTCAACAATGAGACGAAAAAATTCACCGGAGAAGCAACAACGACGAATCAAGCAAAAAACGCACCGCTGATCAGAGAGAATTGTAGAGAGAGAAAGGGTAGAGAGAGAAAGCGTTTTTTGTACCTCTGAAGTTTCTTAGTCTCCTTCTTCAAGTCGGCCTCAAACTTCTCCTTCTGATTGGCATTGTCAGTATCGTATACCTAAAATACGAAATTCAACACGCGAACATGAAACTTCAGCATTCAGATTACACAAAAACCAATAACATCAATAAATCAAAGAAAATTAAAAACATTTACGAAGAGGCCTGGGAGAAAGGATTAGGAGAAGTCGTACCAGGTTTTAGGGTAGAAATCAAACTAGTTTCGATTGTTGTAGAGCCCTGGTAGAACCGATCGAGAATCGGAGAGCGTTTTGAATTTTCTTGAAAAAACCCTAGGTGTGAATGAAGGGAGATACAGAGGAGAGATTGAAGAAGCGGGCACTTCAAAATTTTTTCCCTTTAAAAACGCGCGTTTGATAAAAAAAATATAAAGCGACATTTCTAGAGGACACACATTTAAAACAAGTGCCCTCCGTGTTTGTATTTTTTTTGTTGGACATTAATTTTAAGGCACGCAAAAATGCGTGTCCTCTATCCTTCAAATTTTGGAAGGCTGACATTATTTTTAAGGGCACACAAAAATGCATATCGTAAATTAGCGAGTGTCATTGTTCGCGCATCATTAAAGGGTATTTTTCTTGTAGTGGGCAAATGAATCTGGGGCCCAGCTTGCCCCACTTCCTGAAGCGAATAACACCATTCCAGGACGACACCTTCAGCGGTACAAAATCCCCCACCTGAAACTCCAGTTATGATCGCCTCCGATCCGCATAACTCTTTTGATGGCTCTGCGTAGTTAAAAGCCGTTGTTAAACTTGCTTATGAGCTCTGTCGTCTTGAGCATGACTTCCGTGCTCCCTATGACCCTCTAACCCACTTCACCACAATATATAGGAGTTTGGCACCTCCGACCATAAAGGAGCTCGAACGGGGGCATACCGATACGGGCATGATGGCTATTATTATATGAGAACTCAACCCCAAGGAAGGTAGGAGTCCCAACTCCCACCAAAATCAATAACGCACGCGCGCAGCATATCTTCGAGTGTCTGAATCGTCCGCTTGCTCTAGTCGTCCGTCTGTAGATGGTAATCGGTGCTAAAATGTAGCCGGATACCCAACTCCTCATGGAACCTCTTCCAGAATCTGGAAGTAAAACGCACATCCGGGTGGGACACGATAGATGTCGGCACCCCATGCCAAGCCACCACCTCACGGACATAAATCTCGGCCAACTTCTCTGCAAAAGAGTTGTCACTTATAGCTAATAAGTGAGCATTCTTCGTCAAATGATCCACTATCACCCAGATAGTGTCAACACCCCTCGCAATCCTTGGCAACTTAGTAATGAAATCCATAGTAATATATTCCCACTTCCATAGGGGAACCTCCAGAGGTGAAACTTGCCATGAGGGAGCTGGTGCTTCGCCTTGACCTTTTGGAAGGTCAAACATCTCTCTACAAACCATGCCACATTTCTCTTCATGCAGGGCCACCAATAATTATGCTTCAGATCAAGATACATCTTTGTGGCCCTCGGGTGGATAGAAAACCTCGACTTGTGGGCCTCCTCCATCAAAATCCGTCGGGCTCCACCCACATATGGCACCCATACTCGCCCATGGAGAGTAAAAAGCCCTCTACTGTCTATATCAAAAGCCGAAACCTGCCCAACCACCCGCTCACTCTTACGATTTTCTTCTTTTATGGCCTCCAAATGGGCTTCCTTGATGATCTCTAAGATGGGATTTATCACTTTCATCCTCATACATACATCTCGTATCGAGGTACTCGCTGCTCTATGGCTCAGGGCATCGGCTACCACATTGACCTTGCCTGGATGATACAAGATCTCACAATCGTAGTCTCTTACTATATCCAACCACCTACTTTGCCCTATATTCAGGTTGGACTGATCCATAAGGTACCTCAGGCTCTTATGGTCCGTGTAAATGGCACACCAGACACCATAGAGATAATGAATCCAAATCTTGAGGGCAAATACCACTTCCCCCAACTCCAAATCATGGGTGGGATATCTCGTCTCGTGAGGCTACCGCTGCCTTGATGCGTATGCTATCACATGCCCTCTCTGCATCAACACAAACACCCAATCCCGCAATGGATGCATTATAATAGACTACGAAGTCCTCCTGTCCCTCTGGGAGGGCAAGCACTGGAGCTTCGCACAACCTCTGGCGAAGAGTCTCAAATGATGCCTGCTGCTCAGGCCCCCAACTAAATGCAACATCCTTCCTGGTCAACTTGGTGAGAGGAACAACAATCTTGGAGAAATCTCTAATAAACCTCCGATAACAACCTGCCAGACTCAGGAAACTCCGAATCTTGGATGGAGATCTCGGCACCTCCCACTGCATTACCGCCTCAATTTTGGCTGGGTCAACCAAAATACCGTTCTGATTGACGAGGTTTCCCAAGAATTGGACCTCTCATAACCAGAAATCACACTTGGAGAATTTGGCATAAAGCCTCTCCACCCTCAACAGCCCAAGAATCTCCTGAAGATTCTCCTCATGTTGTTCCATAGTCTTCGAATATACCAGAATATCATCAATAAAAACGATCACCAATCGATCCAACATGGGCCTACACACCCGGTTTCATGAGGTCCATGAACACTGTCGGTGCGTTGGTGAGCCCGAAAGGCATCACCACAGACTCGTAATGCCCATAACAAGTTCGGAAGGCCGTCTTCTGAATATCCTCCTCCCGGACCCTCATCTGATGATATCCGGACCTCAAATAAATCTTAGAAAACCAAGACGCCTCTTGTAGCTGGTCAAATAGATCATCAATCCTCGGCAAAGGGTAACAGTTTTTCACTGTCAACTTGTTCAACTCTCGATAATCAATGCACATACGGTGCGAACCGTCCTTCTTCCTGACGAAAAGGATCGGAGCACCCCACGGGAGAAATGCTCGGTCTAATGAACCCCTTCCCCAACAGCTCATGCAGCTGAGAAGATAATTCCTGCATCTCAGGAGGTGCAAGACGTTACGGTGCCTTGGCAATCGGCGCCGCACCCGGAATCAGATTATTCTGGAACTCCACTTGCCTCTCAGGAGACACTCCTGGTAACTCCTCGGGGAAAACATCAGGCAAATCGCATACCATCGGAACATCAGAAACAAAAGTCGACCCCTTCTTTTCAACTCGAGTATCGACCACATATCCCAGAAAACCCATACGCCTATGCTTCAAGGTCTACCTTTCCCTGGCGGCAGAACAGAAGACTGATCCCGATCTAGTACCCTCGCCATAGATAGTCAGCACTCCCCCACTAGGATCTCGTACTCTCACTAACTGGCGCTCACAGTCGATAAGAGCCCCAAACCGGCTCAACCAATCCATACCCACGGTCACACAAACATCCCTCATCGGAATAGGAATGAGATCAATCGAGTATCCTACACCAAAAATCTCCAGCAAACAGCCACGATAGACATCCGTAGCTGAGTTAGGACGCTCATCCGGTATCGAGACCCTCAAGGTCCTGCTCAAGGCCTCACGCGGAATGCTAAAACTGCGACTAAAGGACGATGACACAAAAGACCGACTCGCACCCGAGTCAAATAGCACAAGCGTAAACACAAAATTCACAAGGAACATACCTACAATTGACAATATAAGCAACATAAATAAATTAACAGAGTATAAAGAATCCATACCAGCCACGACATCTGGAGCTGCACGGGCCTTCTCTGCTGTCAACTGAAAGGCTCTGCCCCGAGCCCTCGGTAAAATACTAAGGATCTCCAGTTCTAACGATATATATATATATATATATATATATATATATAGATATATATATATATATATATATATATATATATATATATATATGAAAAATCAATAGAAAATGCATAAACATTTGGAAACCTAAAACCTAGAAAATCAATAGAAATTCATAGAAAAAAAAATACTTTGAGATATCTAATTTTTGTTTTTGTTTTTTTTTTGTTTTTTTTTTGTTTTTTTTTTACTTTACAGGGCTAAAATTCGCAACTTTTTACACCATATCGCTGAAAAAAAATGAATTTTTTATTATAAAATATAATTCTTATTTTTTTTCAACAAATTTGATTTAAAAGTTAAGATTTTTACGTTTGTAAAGGTAAAAAATAGATTAGATATTTCGAAGTATTTTTTTTATTATGTATTGTTAGGGTTTCTAGGGTATTTTTTTTAGGTTTATATTTTCTATTGATTCTCTCAATATATAGATATATATATATATATATATATATATATATATATATATATATATATATATATATAGTGTGTATGGAAAACTATATATATATGTGTATGGAAAACTATTGTGCGGACGTGTGAACAGTGCTATTCAATGAGAATTACTAAGATAATAGGTTGTTTAGTAATGTGAATACGTTCAACCTACACAACTATTGTCAGTTTATGCATTCTCACTAATTTTTATTCATTTTTGTTCTCACGTATCCTTTTTCACTCATTTTCATTCTTACAGAATACGAATCACTAAAAATTCTAACAACATTCTGATATAATGAGAATAAAAAAAATCTATAATAACCATATAGACGATTTAATTAGTGAGAATGCGTGATAATGACAATAGTTATATACGATTGAACGTATTCACATTATCAAACAATATATTTTCTTTGTCATTCTCACAGAATAACACTGTCAACACGGCCGCACAATAGATGTCAATCCACATTTAAACATATATATATATATATATATATAGATATATATATATATATATATATATATATATATATATAATCATATATATAGATTATATATAATATTAAGCTTTTTATTTTTATAAAGTTGGTTCTTTCATTATTATGTTACAT